CTTAGATAGAAAACTTTGAATCAATCTGATTGGATGATCTGATGAACTGTAAAGTGCCTTGAGATGACATGTGTTGTAAATTGGCGCAATAGAAATAAACTGAATTTAATTGATTTGCATTGAATTGGACCTCATTAAAAGACGGTCCCTTTTCATAGAATCATGTTATTAGATTTATTACTAATTAACGAGTCAGTCTTTTCTTTTGGGAGTATATTTTGTAGTAATTGGATATATCCATGTGTAAACCTGGGCCTTTAGCTAATTAGAACATATTTTTTTCCACATTTCTTCTGCATATTGTTGATTTCAACACATTTGCTGCATGCACCCTGTCTGAGGTCATCTCCACCATGTCCTGAATCTATGTTTACAGCAAATATACTGCAAAAACAATGTAGAAATAAGTCAAAATGTCTTAAATTAAGTGTATTTACCCTCAATTTGATTAGGTAAATAAGATGATTTGCCAATGGAATGAGGATTTTCAACTTTTAAAATAAGGTAATTAGATAGCATACACTTGAAATAAGACAATTAAATAGTTTTTTCTTTCTTATGTTAAATGTAAATTGTCTTGTTCCATTGGCAAAGTGTCTGAGTTACCTCCTCAATTCAAGAAAAAATGCACTTATTTTAAGGAAAAATGACTTATCTAGATTTAGATTTTTTCCAGTGTGATGGCTTGCTGGAACTCACCGGGTTCTCATAAACCTCTTTCCAATCACTGAGGTGTTCATTAAAATCCTGACGGAAGTTTCTGAAGCTTTCAATCTCATCTAGACGACAGATTTCATCCCAAGACTTTTGAGGAAGCCAGCTGCAGGGATTGGTGTGAGGGTTGTCCAGGCCTACGCCGCCTGTAAGAAGGAAGCGCCACTCCACCTCCTCCACCTGAAACACCAATATAAAGGAGGGAATAATCCAGGGTTACGGGATTTAAAGGTTTAAAGGATCTTGTTACTTTAAATTAGATTATGGTCCATAAAATTACTTTAACTTGTTCATCAGGTAACCTAATCGCACAGCGAAAAACATGACATCTGAGACATGTGCTGGTGTCACACATGTATGCACATGGAAGTATGCACTCACCAGCTTGTTGTGCATGAGCTGATTGACACTGAGGCAGAAGGAAAAAAGCAGCTTGTCCTTCTCAAACAGAGAGCGGCACACGTTGACGTACAGCGTGTAGGTAAAATGGTCTCTGAGGATCTGCAGTCTGTGGAAGGAACGGTTTTAATCATCATCAGGAACCAAACCAGGCAGAGCCGGCGGGTCATCTTCATGTGCTGAAACCAAAGCAGTGTTTTTAACAGGAAACCACAGTCCGACCTGCTTACCTCTGTCCAACGTCTTCGGTCTTCTCTGAGCCGTCGATGGAGCTGATGAAGAGGTTAATAAACCAGGTCAGGGAGTACTGGTACATGGGCTCGATGTTAGCCAGGTCAGCAATAGAGAAGAACAGGATGGAAGAGTGAACGGCGATGGGTTTGTAGTCCATGCGGGTCTTATCAATCTTCAGCTCGGTCTTTTCAGCCACGGCCTGTTTTTCTGTGATTTCATTGGATAAAAGCTTGGAGCTGGACAGGACATTAATGGCTTTTTCGTCCTCTAGAATGTTGCCCTCTGAGGAGGAGAGCACCTCCAGGATCTTATCCTCTATCTCCTTCAGCTGTCTGAAAAAAGAATCAGGATTTAATTTTGCTGGTGCTTTCAGGGGAACTCTGTGGTTGGTATGTGAAGTCGGTCGGACATGGAGGGAAACTGAACCTTTTGTTTTCTGCTCCCTGGAGGATGAGGGCTTGTTTCTCCTCCTCCAGATCTGGCCTTTCCTGAGCCACCACGATTCCCAGCAGCTGGTCCTGGATGCCCTCAGGGGTAATCATGAAGTTCAGCAGTGTCACCTGCATCACATTCAGAAGACAGAGAGTTTTACACACTACTTACAGGCCATAATAAGCAGGTTCTAACCTGACTGCAGGTTAAATCCGACACAGTTGCTCATATTTTCTCTCTCTCATCTTTATTATGAGAAAACAACATTGATAAGTTGAGGAACCATCAGATAATAGAAAGTATATTATTTAAAGTGGGGATTGAAGGGATGAATGTGCCTCCTCCCATGTTTTAGTGTTGATTTGAATAGTTTTCTGTCTGTTTGCTCTGTACAAATATGGGTACTAACTAGTTACATTTACTTGAGTACATTTTTGACAAAAATGTACTGTAAAAAAAAGATTTTTTTATTTCTCTATATGTTTTACTTTTACATGAGAGCTAAAGTAAAAGTATTATATTAAAATGAGTGCTCCTTTTTGGTACAAAAGCTTACTCTATATCTGTTGAAGGAACCATAACTTCCAAAAAAGTTTAAAAATAATTCACTTTGTTTCCAAGTTTGAAGACGTTTCGCTTCCCTTCTTCTTCTCCCCCGTCTCCAAACTTGGAAGCAAAGTCCAGTGGATTGTTTTTTAACTTTTTTGGATGTTTTGGTTGCTTCATCAGATATAAAGTAAGCTTTTGTACCAAATGATCATATGATCACATGACCTGGATTACTGAGAATCTTCACCAGCATAAGAAACCGTAAGATTTTGAGGTCATGTATAAAATGGTCAAATGTATAAATGATCTTCTGTCAGAAATGTTTTCATAAGCTTTATGTAAAAAAAAACCCAAAAGAAAATGGATTAGGAAGATTGATTGTTTTGAATTATTGTATAATTTTTTTATAAAATATTGAAACAATCAAAAAGTGAGAAACAAATGTTTATTATCAAATTCATTTAATTAAAATATATAGAAAAGGAGAGCAGTTCCTTTTTCAATTCCTCATTGACCCGCAATAAAAAAAAAAAAATATATAGATATATATATATATAGATATAAAAATATATATGAAGAGCGTTTATGTCATTTTTTCCCCCTTTTGGGCTGTTTTAGCAGGTCTGCTTAAGAGCAATATCACAAAACCTCACTAAGCAGACTATTCTATAAACAAACAAACAGGTTTAAAAAGAAATAACTTAAAAAAAGAAATAATATGTATGGGCGAAATTATTTTAATCCATAGTAGAAGGATGAAACTTCTGTGACAATCCTGTCATCAATAGAGCTAAAGACGCACCTGTTCACTATGCAGCTTGATACTCCGTGTGAATTTTTTTTTTTGCTATGATCAGAGAGGTTTGCTCTGATTGGTGCAGACAGGACTTATGATTTCTGATTCAGAAATCCAAACTAATTTTATTTAATTAAATTTTTTTTTTGCAGGGCAGCCGCAGCACCATTCTGAACCTGTGGAGCAAGTTTTTGCTATTTAGTTTTACAAATGGTTCTTATAGGGCAAATCAATTAGTACTTTTATACAACGTGTATTTACATTGCATAAAGTATGAATCATCATATTTCTTAAAATTGACGTGATAACATAACATTTATTTGGCTATCTTTTTATTAGTGTTAGGACTCCAGTCTGTGTGGTCTGTGTTTTTGTGTGTTTGTCTTCCTTCCTCCACCAGGCGGCG